CAAGCATTCTTACACTGTATATTACAGTATACTGTTATACTACTCACTGCTAGCCATTGCTTAAATCCCGAAAAATGCCTTTACAAATAATACAATAGAAGCTTTATAGCACAATTCCAGTTGTTTTCCTTCTGTTAAATTTGTAACTGTATCCTGATTTTATCTCTCTGAAGACTTCTGGATATTTACAACATAAGGAAAGTCTTGTTTCCCTAACTCAAGGCCTTCAATAAAAACACAATCATAAATGGCATTTCTATTTAAAACAAAAATAGAAACTTCTAGAAATCTTCTGTATAATTTACAAAAAAGAAATTTTAATTCAACTGGATTCTCCAGTATCTATTTCCCAGGATTCATTCACAGTTGCTTTCCAGAAAACATTTTCCAAAAATTATGCCAAATACCATGTTATGCGTAACTTCCTTGCTGAATATCTCTAGTCTAGAGCTAATTTATTTTTCTCAGCTGTGCCTTCCGAGCCTTCAAAGCTATTGCTAAAGTCTCCTCCCTCAGCTGACTTTAATTATTCCTTGTCAATGTAATTTCTGAATGTTTCACGGAAAAAATAGAAAGGAAAATATGAACTATTTTCCTGAAAACACCTGCCTTGAAACAATATTTCAGAAGTGACCAAAAAAAAAAAAAAATAGATGGTGTGCAATTTTCATTTCAGGTTCCTAGCTGCCCAGTGAGAAGTTGCCTGACTGCCAGTTGGAGGCCTCCCTAACGCCCCAGTTGTTGAGCTGTCCCTGTTTCCAGTCCTAGGGCGACTTTCTCACCACTTCTTAGGGGCAATTTATATCCTGTGAGTTTTGTCAAGTTGGGAAGGGCCTACCAAATGAGAAGCCATTTGCAGAATCAGGGTTCACTTCAAAGGTCCTAAGAAAATCCTCGAGCCATCATAGTTGAAAAACATTTGAAGACTGTTCACTTGAGTAAGTGCTTAAGCTTGTCCTCCCTTACTCTCTCCGGCCTGTAGCAATATTACTCACCCTCAAAGAATTCATCAATATTCAACTGACTCTCCAATTTGCTGAGGTAGCAAAAGGAGTTTAATAAAGAAAGCTGTTGCAGTTTGTCTTTAGAGAACATGCTACAAACTCAACTTTTATCTTATGTCGCTGGAATCTTCTGCCCTTTTACTAATTTAGGTGGGGAAATAAATGCTTACGTGTAGCAACCCCAGCAAATTTACCCACGAAGGCAAGCCTTAAAAGCCCAGCAAAGCCTTTCATCCCAAGGGCACAAGAGCTTAATAAATGATTTCTCTGAGGATTTAGAAGCGTGTTCAGTCACGTCTCACAGCCCGGCAAACTTTCGGTCCTGTCCACGAGGGGTTTTGAAAACGTTAGCAGGGAAACTGTAGCTTAGTAATAAGAGTTTTCAGCGCCCACCGAAACTGGACGAGTATCAGCTGTTTAAAAACATTTCCTGAAAAGAAAATCTTGCTCTGTTAAAACCTTTTTGGTTAATTTTTGAAAACCAGCTTTGCAGACCCTGGAAGACGCTACTCTCTTTTCCCTCCCCGCGCCCCGGAAAAGAGCCGCAGACGCCAGCGAAAGGCTGCGCAACGCTTGCAGTTTGCAACGTCTTGGGTCTGCGAGATCGCCCTTGCAAAGACATTTCAGGTTTTCCATTAGCTCTACATAAATATCACAGTAAAATGCATGTGAGACCATTAAAGTAACTCAAACTCGAGCGCAGAGCACAGCAGACTGAGCGGTTTTATTTTGGTAAACTGATTTCGTGTGTGTGTCCGCGCGTGTGTTGCTGTTTTCTTTCGGCACCTGATTTTTTCCCCCAGCGCCCGCACGCGGTTCTGGGCTACCCCGCGCGCCGTCTGCAGGCCGCGACAACTACGGCCTCCCTCCGGGAATCCGGGGGCCGGCCGCGGGCCGCGGTGGCGGCGGCTGCAGGCGCGCGGCTCAGGTCCCCGCGGCCTGCCGGTTTCTTCGCTCATCTGTGGCGCAGCCGACCCACCGAGTCTGAGTCGGACCGGGGATTGCTGAGAGCTGCCAGGAAGTCCCCAACCCGCACCGCCCCCGGGGCTAACGCGCTAGGCAGCTCCTCCGCAGAGCTTTGCGCCTAGCAGCCCACCTGCCCCGAGGCTCCGATGGCCCCTCGTCGCCTGACCAGGGCAGGACCGCTGCAGGCCAGCTCTACCCATTGCTCTTCCCGTCCAGATCCCGCTGGCCTTGAGCCCTGCTTGCTCGCAGATTTGTCCCACCCGGGACAGGAAAAAGAAAAGAAGCTGCCTTCATTTTCTTAGCATTCAGGCGCTATTTTATAAGGGAACTCTTCCAAAATTTTCATTATGGCATTTTGCAAATATTTAGGAAAGCTGAAACAACGGTACAACGAACGTCTGTTTACCCCCCACCCCCAACAGGATGCAACAACTGTTAACATATTGCAATACTTGCTTCCTTTCTGTTCTCATAATGTGTGCGTATGTTAGCTGCATCATTTGAAAACTGCAGACACCGTGACACTTCTGTACACTTCAGCATGCATCTTCAAGGATAAGGATCTCCTTACTTTCAATACCATTCTCACAAATACAAAATAGCATCGTCCTTAACAGCGTCTAACATTCAGGATAAGGGCTCCTTTTTCTCCGGTTTCCCCACTTCAGTCTTAAAAATCAGTTTCCCTTCTTGTACTGGGTATATGTGTAAACAATTGCTTCTCCCTCTGTGTTATGCCCACCAAAGGACTATAGGGCTCACCCTGTCCCGGGGCCTCTCTGAGAGCTTGGTGGGATGGCGAGGGCTGGGGCGTCTCGACAGACAGCTACTCAAACGCGTGGGGAAAGCGCTGCACTCACGCGGTCTGAGACCCCCTGTTTCCTTTCCCAAACCATCTCAGGTACCCCCCGGAAGCACAGAGCAAGAAGCCTCGCTCAGCCAACTTGCGCCCTCCCGGCAGCTCAAAGGACACCACCAGAGGACCTGTGAGCGTGGGGTGGCGTCTGTCGCGGAAGCCTGGGGGTGCACGCTGCGCTACCTCGTGCCCTTGGCTTTGCCGTTTGCCATCCTCCGCTTTTTCTCCCCAGAGTGTGATTAATTTCACATTGTCTCTCCCTATTCGGCTCATTGTTGGTTACTCAGGGCGTCCAGTGTCTTTTTTGGCCCTCCCCCGCCGCGGGCCAAGGCTGCGGCGTCGAGCGCCTGCACAACCCCCTTTCCCCCCCCCTCCCCCCTTCCCCCCCCCCCTTCCCCCCCCCGGGCCCCGGAGCCAAGCGGGGCCACCGGGGGGCGGAGAGCGCCAGCAGCGCGTAGCCACGCCCCCGGAGCCGGCTTTTTCTAGGGCGGCTCCTGGAGCCTCTCCGCCGGCTGCGCCTCTCGCCTCCCAGGGAGCGCTCCGCGCTGGCCCCTCGCTCTGCTCCGCCTCTGCCACGCCGCTCTCCGAGCTTCGGCCGCAGCCAGCGCCTCCTCCGCGCGCCCTCCGCGCTGAGACTCCGGCTCTCAGCTCTTCGTCCTTGTCGCTCCGTGCCCGGCACCTTGCGCCCTGCAACCTCGCCGTCTCCCAAGTCTCGGGTCCCGCTTCTGTCGCTGTCCGTCGATGTCCGTCTGTCTTTCGCTCGGTCTGCCTCTCCGCCTCCCCAGCCCTTCCTTCCTCCCTCTCTCCCTCGCTGGCTTGCACATTCGCTCGCTCTCGGACGCGGCGAAACAGCTTCGCAGGCAAATCCCAGAAACCTTTGCAAAAAGCTTGCAATGAAATTTAAGAAGTTCTTCGATTTCGGCGCCATTTTCGAGTCGAGCCAGAGGTGACATGCGATTTTTTAAAAAGGTCTTGGTGGCTGGCGTCTTTCCCGATTGTAGCGTGGGTTACGGCAGGCCAAAAAAAAAAAAAAAAAAAAATCTGGTGATAATTCTGAAAAAGTGCTGTGGCGTTTTGGGGTTGTAAAGCACGTTTGGGGGCGGGGTGGGGGGTCAAAACTGACCTTTAAAGTGTTTAACAAATGAGTGCGGCCGGGAAATTCTCAGGAAACGGACTGGGGAAAAAAAACTAACATGGAGGGGCGGGGAAGAAATACTGAGTAAGGGGCAGTGACCGCCTGTCAGACTCGCGGGGGTCAGGAGCGACTGGTTTTGACATAATGTAAATGAACTTTTCCTGACTCGTATTTTCAAGCAGTAAGTTATGTCTTGGAAAGAAATGTGTGATTAATTTTACATTGTCTCTCCCGATTTAAAACTTTCAAGGTTGTTCAGTTTTCCCTGTAGGGAACTTGACATTGGGAAAGTTTGGCTAGAATGCGCTGAGGGTAGGTACGTCGTGTTTTGGGGGTGTGGGGGACGAAGGCAGATGCAAAATTAAAAGACAAAACGTTGTAAAATGTGAACAGAGGAAGAGGCGTATTCTTTGGCTCTTAAATCATTTAGCCAAACACATTGCAGTTCAGAAGGGGGTGGGGCTATGGCCACTCGAAAGTATCGATTCTTTGTCTATTGTATCAGCGAATGACCCTCTCCTGAAGTGACGAGAAGCCCCTTCGTATTCTCTTTTCGTAAGTAAATTTCAGTCTAAGGGGAACTGTGTAAACTAGGGGATCGACGTGGCTTTTTAGGGATGTAACTCGTTGTACTCGGAGAGATGAAAGGGGTAAAGGTGAAAGGTATAAATAAATTCGATTCCAGTGAGTTTCAGAGCAATCTGGAAGGGACCTTTGCCTTAGACACCGATGTTATTTTGAATGAACTTTTGTTTTTCTAAGTAGTCAACTAAAGAAATGTTAAATTAGGAGTGAATTTAATTTCTGACATGATGGCTCATATATTTATGTGGAACAAAATATTGGGAGAAAGTTGTGGAGTTTTAAATTATAATTGTACATCTGCTAAACTTGTTTTTTTTCTTTTTAAGGGCAGCCAACGACATTTTTCTCCATTAATCCCAAAGGCAATGCAAAAGTTTGTAAATATCATTGCCAAAACAAGATGGAACGTAGAGACACTTGATTGTCCCAATTCAGGGAATGGGGTTATTATCACTAATGACTTTGTTTACCATGACGTGTAGTATATTTGTTAGCACTGATCTCAGTCTGGATGTTATTAATTTTATACTCAATCTCCTTTAATACTCTGCACATTTTATTAACTAATAGGACACTAACATTCATTGTACTAGTTTTGAAAAACCGACATAATTTGTAAATGTAACAAAATACAGTTGGATACTTTAAATGTTTATTACTTATGCTGAAATGTATTTTAACTTTCAAAACCATTACAATTAGTGGTGATTTTGTTGTTTTAGGTTTGTGATTGAGGATTTCAGAGTCGGTTTTTTTCTAATGCTTAATTGAATATTGTATTTAAACCAAAAGGGGGCATGCATGTGACTTGTTGCTAATATGTGTCCATTTTAAAAAGGAAAAAGTGGTATCTAATGAGTTAATCATTAAGGAGTATGCGCAGTGCCGGCCATTTCAGGACATGTAAGCGTTTCTGTGGAGCTGCTTGAAACAGGAAGGAGCGACTTGACATCAAGTATTTAAACTTTTTGATTTATGTTTTCATCGATGACATTGATAGGTATAAATTATTCATGAATAAGTTTGAGTAACTAGTTTAATATGTAAATGTCCAGGTATTTCATCTACAGAAAGTTCTGACATTCTTGAAGCTCTTAAAAATAGCAGTGGTGTTTACCGTAAGAATAAAAACACTAGCAGTGAGTTAAAGAGGGCATCTAATGCTTTTAAAGATGTATATATATGTCGCAGCGATAGTATATATTAGAATCAGCTGAAGCTACCGGTGAACTTTGGTTATTTCCTTCCAGTCATCTGCATCCATTTCCAATAAAGGTGTTTTTTTTTTTTTTTTAATGGGGACAATGAATAAGACTTGTAATATGCAGCAGTAAGAAGTTTCACCAAGACTTTGAAGTTGGCAATAATGATCCAGATGTACGATTGCCTCTACTTAATGTTATTCATCTACTTTCAAAGTAATTAGATTCTCTTACACACTAATTCCTATCTCCCATCGCTCTTCTTTTCACCACTACGTTTTTCCAAGATTCATCCTCAGGGGAAAAAAATTGAGAGCCACAACTTCGGCTCCACCTGCAGCTCCTGGAAATCAAATGGTGAAGTTATAAAAAGTATCTCAACTTGGAGTGAGGTGGCCTAGTCATAAGTGTTGCTCTATTCCTTGCCAAGGGCAGCATGGGGCGGGGCGGGGCTTCCTCCAGTCATCCAGTCTTTCTTCACCCGCAGGTACCCCGGTCCATCCCCCTTCGTTGACTCCAAGGGGATACAGCAGCAATTCATGTTTTGAAGTGCTCTAAATGGTTCAAAACGTGAAGCGCTGCTATACCCCCTCGTGGGGAAGGAAGAAGGTGGGATCTGCCGGACCGTGTTCCTGCCACCAGGTGCCCGCTCCCCGCTACGCCGGCTCAGAAGCAGGTAGGTGGGTGGGGGTTTGCGTCTTTCTGGCGGGTCCTGGCCCTTTCTAGTCCACGCGACAGGGCGGTAGTCGGGGGAGGGCAGTATTCCCGGCCAGGTTGGGGGCGGCCGGCCAGGGACGCGCCCGTAGGCAGTGGGAGCTGAGTAAGGATGCCGTGCCCGTGCTCAGCCGTGCTCTAGCAGCGAAAACAGTTCTGCAGTTAGCTATCAATACTCTGGAGTATTGTTTCCGCTGCCAGAGTAAGTCTGGGACTGCCTTACGGGCCTACCCAGCAGGTAAGTCTTAGGCCACCGCCTGCGGCGTCCGCCCCAGGAGCAGCAAGACCCAAGATTCCATCAAACGAGGGAGAATTAAACAATTGGAAAAAATCCCAATCAGAATACCACCCACAGGAGGACGAAAAAAACCCATTTTCAGTCCCCAACCACGAAACGGTGGGGGTGCGGGGGGAACTGGAAAAGGAGTAAGGGGAGAGGAAGGGTGCACAGCTACAAGAAGTCTTCACATCTCTGCGGTTCCTGGTAAACGCGCTCCTGTCCTGAATGTGGAAGGAACTTAAGAGTTCAGGAAAGATCAAAGTAACGGGCCTCTTCCTCACACTCGCGCCCTCCCTTCCCCGCTGCTGGGTTGGGGGGCTCCGTGGAGCTCCAGCACCCTAGAAGGATCCGGTGAGGCGCGAGGCCTTGCGGGCGGGTGAACGCAAGACAGCGTGGAAGGCGCCAACCTGCCCGATCTGAGCCCAAGGCTGCTGAGAAGTGTGGGGGCCTTCAGGGGATCAGCGTTTCTAGCTTCTTTTCGCCCTCCTTTCCCAAAGATCTACCACAATTCCACCCTGGAGGCGTTCCCCGCCCACCAAATCTCCTTTGTAGCCCCAGGGCAGGGACCTGAGCCTTCCTGACTCCAAAACTCCTGGGCACTGTTGCTCGTGAGTGCTGCCCAGCTGTCGTCCTCTAAAACCACCTCCATCCCTCACTGGGCTGGCCCCCTGAGCCTTCGGTGAGGAAATGGGTTTCCGCAGTGCCTGCCTGGGAGCTTGACAGCCTGACTAGAAAAGGGCTAATTCTCTTTTTCTGTGCAAATCACTTGAGCTAATTATTTGATCTGAAGCATGGGCAGGTAAAGCATCATTGGCGGGCGTGGGGAGGCAGGCGTGGAATCGTTCCCACACTTTGTCCCCTTTAAAAAAAAGCAACCAAAACACACACCGAAACCCCTCTGGTCTTAATGGGCTAGCTGGAACTGGGCTTTCCGGGGCGGGAGTGGGCCACTAGAAGTTTCCCAGTTTGGGGGATTGAGGGGGCGGGGTTCCTGAGTCCAGAGCTGGGAGTTGGGTTCTTCGGCCCAAGACGCTGGCTCTTCCAGACTCCTTTACTCTGGGGCAGTGCGTGGGGGCTGCTTGGGTCCCTCCTGGCCTGCCGGAACCCTCAGGCTCACGGAGCAGGACCAACCCACCCAACCCAGTGGCGCCTCCCAGGCCTAGAAGCCCCCACTTTGCTCCTTCCCCACTCCGATCAGCCAGCGCAGGGCCCCTCAGGCCCAAGATCCCCAGGCCCAAACGGCGAACAGGTCCCCACGTTCGCCTGCTTTTGCACTTGGGGGTGGGGGAGCCACCTCGTGACGCCCCTTCTGCCTCACCAGCTTACCCCTTTCTCCCCGTTCTGTAGGCTTCCCCCTGGAGTCAGAAGGAAGCCCGGTGCCAGCCAGCCTTCCCGAAGGACTAAGCCCGCACCATCCGGCTTCCTCCAGCGGGCGCCTGCAGGACCCAGGTGAGACACGGGAGCGGTTGGGGACGTGAGGGACAGAGGGCAGCGAGCAAGGGATCCTGACTTGCGGGCGTTGCCTTCTGGAATCCAAGAGGCCCTTTGCCTGAGTCTCCGAGATGCATCGAAATTGAGCTTGTCCACACAGCCCCCTGACTGTGCAGTGCCCTTTTCTGACTTGAAACATTCCTTGCACCTTTATTTACACGGTCCAAGTTGCAGTGTGCCTAGATTTTCTCCAAGGACAAAAATGTGAATAAAGCGATATTTTAGCCAAACATTTCCGTGTCAATTAAGAAGATGGCAATTCGTTCCAGACTATAAATTCTCTTTAACAACTCCCTAAGGTATTCTTTTAAATTGTTTTTCAACATTGCTAAATATGCATCATAATGTGTGGGAGACTTGTGTAAAGTGAATCAATTTATAGTCTACTGATTAATTGACCTGATGTTACCACCTCCAAGGAGGCACCTTTCCACTGTTTTCTCATTTTTTCCCCAACACATGTTATCTGTTAGTGAGGCAGCTGTGTGCACGTGGCATTGTATAAAGTTTATTAGACAGACGTGGCTCTTAAACTAGGAAGAGCTTAGTTTTAACTCTAAATCTAAAATTCCACATTTCTGTAAGTTGTGAGACAAGATACATAGGTTGCTTTGATAAACCAGAACTGAACATAATTTTTTAAAAATTTAAATCACAGGAATGTTTTTTTGAAGGCATCCAGCATCTCCAGTTAGCAGTACTGATTTTTTTCTTTTTTTTTCCCAACAAAGGAACACTACATCAACACTCTTGGCGGGGATGTGGACACAGAAGACTTCTGTTTCAAGAAAATACAATCATCTCTCAAAGGCTGTAATTTATATGCATTTTAAAACTCTCTAGGCATTGAAAACCACCCAAGTGTCCCAAATAGAAGGGTAAAATATAATCAATCACTCAGTGTAATATTATACATCCTTTAAAAATGTTATTGGAAAATGTTTTATGATCTGTAAGTCCAAGGAATCCTCTCCCACCATTTCTTTCTCCCCACTGTTCCCCATACCCACACTTCTTTGTTCCAATTGGCATGTAAACTTGGTTTTCCCGCCAAATGAGTCAGTCATGATGGGAACGTCAATTGATTTGAACAGATGTGTGTCAATGTTACTTGGAAAACTAGATGCCAATAACCAGGGCCACAGAAAAAGGCAGTGGTTGCAACTCTGTAAAAATTTATGCATGCACACAGAAAAGGACTAAAGTGGAACCCCACACAGGAAAACAGTGGGCTGTACCCCCGTGCTGGGACATTGAATGACTGTATGCTACTTTTGATTTTCGTTAATATGGGCAACCGTCCAATTAAAAAAAACTCCTAAGGACTCTGCAGTGCAAATTGTTTTGCTGATTGTTTTTAAACACCATACCTATCAACTCATCAAGGTAGATGGGGCAGCAGGGGACTGGGTTCATTTCCTGAATCCTGGACTACTATAAAGCTCACGTAACATTTGCAGAAAACCTGAGCCTGTGAGATGGGAGCTAACTTATAGGCAGCTTTCCTGAGACTGTGCAAGATGAAAATAAAACTAGGTTCCTAAAATGTTTTGGGAAGATCAATGAATTTTTCAATAGAAATGAAAAGACTTGAGTCAGGGGCTATCTGCAAGTTGGCATACATTTTTAGAGATCTTTTTTCCCATTGGCCTGCAGTATGACTTATTCTTATAACCCTAGGACTTTATATATGCATTTGTATTTAGAGTTATTATATGACTCTTAAGTGAAAAAGAGTATATATACATCAAGTGTAGAAAACGTGTATCTCCCTGCCACCTACATCTCACTCAGGCCCACCCATTAGTTACTGCTCAGTGAAGGAACAATGATTGGCTAGCTCTTTCATAATATTTCATCTATCTGCCACTGTTTCCCCCTCCCCAGCTCCACTGCTGATCTCTTTGGCAAGTTCAGCCAGGCTTAAACCCCCTGTGGGAATAGTAAATTGAGCCAAGAGGGAGGACCCCTGAAGGCATCTACTTCCTATGGTTGCGAGGGCCTTTGAGCACTCCCCCTTCCACTACTGAGTTCCATAATCTGAGCAATTGGTGGGAGTTTGGAAACATGGCCTTGGCTCCACTGCTGGAGTCAGGGAGCTCAGAACACTGCAGCAACCTGAGAGTCAGAGTCTTGGTTGCTTTGAAGTCTAAGTCTCCCAAGGCAGCTCCCTCACCTGTTCCCGCATGTCTGCCACCCAGACGAGACTATTACCCTAAGACCAGACCTTCTAAAGGCGTGGCCACAGAATCATCGGAATCCCAACATCCTGCCTTTGTACATGCATTTACGTACTTTTCCAAATACTTGAATTTTTTAAAAAAAATTGTGACAACCTTGAAAGACAGAGTTAAGGCAATCCAAAAAGTAATTACAGACAAGAAAACGGGGGCCTCTGGAGGTTAAGGATTTGCCTGAGGCTAGTTACTCTCTGGGGCCTCTTCCTCCAGGCCTCATGCTATGTTCTTTATGTCATTACCTGTTTATCAGAACCAACTATGTCGCAGTGACCCAAGCAGGAATGTGTTTGGTTACAAAAATTCCAGGTGAAACTGACTAGTCTTAGGATGAGCTTTGACCTATACACTGGACCCTTCCTGGGTGAGGCCCAAGATTGGCCCCAGGATTACTAAACAGTGACTATAAGTTACCCAGCCCTGTACAAGTCAATCTGCCCAAACCAAAAAAGCATGATTTAAATTCATGTAAAACCTCTGTCCCATATGTGTTATTTTCTGTAGATTCAATCAAATTAATCTTAAGGAAACAAATGAAGTGTCCAGCTATAGGGGTTAACTTAATCTAGTCACTTATTCAATGGAACCTTTTTCAGCCATTACAAACAACAATGATAGAGACTACTCAGAAATCTGGAAAATGCTTATGATATCAACTTTAAAAAAATCAGGGCAACAAAATCACATGGACCCCATGATTGACAAGTCGGAGCAGAACCTGGAGGAAATGTGCAAAACAGACATACTTGTTACTTAAGCGTGGTGGGATTAGAGCTAAAGTTTCTTCTTTCTCTACTTTTTCATGTTTTTTTGTGTGTGTGCATGTTTCTGTGTGATGCCATGTTTTCTTGTTACGTTGTCAAAATATAAATCTCTAAAAAGTCTTTAGAGGTCATGGGTGATACAGAAATTTGGGATCGGACAAGGATGCACAGACCTCAGACATCTCGGGGATCATCGTGTCACGAGATATCACTGTGCACTTGTGACAGATTGATAACTGAAAGGTCTGGGAGCCACTCGTCTTCATAACAAAACACATGGTAAGTATTACAAGACGAACCAATAAAAAGATTAGGAGCAAAGTGGGCCCTAAGCAAAGAAGAAAGGGGTTGCTGTGGGATTGGAGGGATGAGTTGTGTTTTCATAGGAGTGTAATGGGAATGTCCTTAACTATTTGTGTCTTTATTGCTTTAAATGTCTGTTGAATGAATTGAAGCTTACATAGGGTATATAATTTTATAGTTTTGTTAGAATGTTAAAGAATTTATGCTCAAGCAAATGACAATTGGAAAACACTTTGCTATAAGCCTTACAGACACAGGGTCATTTCTAATATGTTGAGTCCACACAAGTGGTCAAGAAAAACCATAAAAATGACATGAATAGAAAGCCCCCATAAAAAAAAATGCATAAAGATGCTCATTTCAATATTTTTAAGGATGGAAGTTAGGAACATCCTGAATGACCACCAACAAAGGATTGGACAAATAAAATATAGTGTAGCTAGCACAATAGAATAGGATGCTTTCATGTAAAATAATGTTTCTGAAAGTTATTTTCGTGTCAGGAGAATGTGCTCCTGATAAAACATTTAGTGACTGAAAAAAAGCTATTTTCCCATCTCTGCAATATAGGTACATAGAGAGCATTCTGCTTGAATAGTTTTGTATCAACATACAGATAAAAGGCTAGGAGGAAACATATAAAAACTTTATTGTGATTATCTCTGAGTTGTGGTATAAAAGTGACCAAGGAAAGATGCTGAACTATTTTTGCGATGTGTTCCTAATATGTAATATAAATGTATTGGGGACATTTTGCAATCATAGTTTTGTATCAATAATGTGGGAAAAAAAGGTTATCAGGAAATATACCAAAAGTCTAGAGGTGGTTACCGCTGACTTGTGTCACTATAGGGAATCAAAAAAGATACTAAACTGTTTTTGCGATGTGTTCCTAATATGTACTATAAATGTATTGGGGACATTTTGCATGCATAGTTTTGTATCAATATACAGACAAGAAGATGGAGAGAATAAACCAAAAATCTAACAGTGGCTCTCTGTGGTTAACTTCTGTGATAAACATAAGATGCAGAATTATTTTTGCAATCTGTTCCTGAATATATAATATAAGTGTATTGGGATCATTTTGCATCCATAGTTTTGTATCAATATATGGAGAAAGTCTAGGAAGAACTATACCAAAACTTGTAACATTATTATAGTATAAAATTATAGGTGATTTTTTGTACTTGTTTTTTTCTTTGTACTTTTATGTATTTTCCAAGTAATATTTGTATAAACAACAAAATGCATTACTTTTATAGCAATAAAACTTATTTTATTTTTAAAAGGAGTTTGTATTTTTTTTAAAGCATGGACCCCTGACATAAGGGTGGGGGAAGACTTCCTCTTTGGCCAGAAGTTGGCCTAGAATGCTTTTTCAAACGTATCTGGGAAACTTTTGCACAGCTTCAGTTGGATCTGCAGTGCAAATTTGTGTTTTCATTTGCTCTTGGCAAAGGAACGAGAAAGTATAACTTAAAAATATAACCACGGCAGAGTTATAATAGCACTATTACTAAACAGACTGCTATCTCCTGTCTAATCAAAGTAACGTTTAAAGAAGTATAGAAAGCTGAAACAGGCTCCTTTTCCTCTAGTAGCAATTCAGGAAGGTGGTACTTGGATGCTCGCCCAGGGCCTCAAGACACATTGGCCAGTTTGAGACATGCCTGAGTCAGGAAAACACCTTACAGAAAGGTTATTTCCATGCAGCCAACTTTTTGCAGATGCAGGTAAAGCCCCCCTGCATTTTCCCACAAATTTGGCTGAGCTCCATAATAACTCTGGTGTTACGGAACACATGTGACACTCCAATTTAGTCGATCCCTGTTCTGATAAGAGAGATGGAACCATTTGGTCATGTACCCGGCCTGTGGTCTGAAGGGCACCTACCAAGGTTTTAACATTCCTCAGTGGCATTGATTTGAACAGAGACACATTACAGGAGGATCCAGGATCCTTCCTCTCCTTTTAGTAGCACTTGGGGAAACTGTCCCCCCACCAAGGACATATTTTGCACTCCAGCAAGTCCATATGACTAGACATTACTTTCAAAATAGAGCCATCATATTCCTTAGAGAAGCTGAGTTGTAAGGCAAAAAATAATATATATCCTTTTACAAAAATACAGACCACTCCTTCAATTTCCTGATGTCCTGCCCTTGTTCTGCTTAAGAACAAACAATCATACAACTGAACTGGTACCCTTGCTTAAATGTGTGTGCTCCTCTTTAAGGAGCACAAACATTTTTCTCTGCCACACTCTGTCAATCAGAGCATATTTACTGGGTGCCTACCTCTGTGCTAGTTACTTGTGGGTAGAGGAGAGAGTGGGGGAGAAGCAGGGGTTAAGGCGTTACTAAGCCAGAGAGGCCTTGAACACACGAATACTTTGTCTGCCACGGGGTACAGAGCAGGGATCCGCTGGGGCTTTGCCCTTTGTCTGAGTCAGGCCAGACCACACAGAGAATCTGCTTCGCTAAGCAACCGTCTAAGAGGCCTCCTTTCCCCAAGGCCTCACTCTAGTCCCTGCTGGACACAAAGTATGGAATAGGGGCAGAGTGTGGGAGGGACCCCTTTCTACATGGGAGGTCTCGCCTCTAGGCCTAAGAAAGAGAGAGGTATCACTCCAAATTGAGCATTGATCTTAAACCCCTTTGGTTTACCAGTGAAAAAATCTTCAGCCCCTGAATTTCTTGAGAGAGAGAGAGAGAGAGAGAGAGAGAGAGAGAGAGACAGGGTCTCACGATATTGCCCAGACTAGTCTCGAACTCCTGGGCTCAAGCAATCCTCCCACCTCAGCCTCCCAAAGTGTTGGGATTACAGGCGTGAGCCCCTGCACCTGGGTGAAATTCTGAACCAATGTAATGTCCTAGAATTTGGCCAGTACAGAGCACGCTTCTCAAAGTTGGAAGTATGCCAGGAAGGGATGAGGAGGGGCAGGTACAGAAGGTGCGGAGAGCTTCCCTTTACTAACAGGGTAAACCCCTCATTTTACACAAATCCAGCCCCTAATTTT